AGTAGTGGCGGTAGTAGCAGTAGTAGCAGTAGCAGTAGTAGTAGTAGTAGTAGTAGTAGCAGCAGCAGCAGCAGCAGCAGGAGGAGTAGATAGCAATGTCTACCGACCTTCGCTTGAAGCTTCGAGCCAATGCCCTTTGCACAAGTCCTTTGCAGCCAACGGGCATTTTGAAGCTTGCACGGTGCTATGGGATTTTGCTGTTGAGCGAAGTTTCTTTATGATGTCATTGCACAGAAGCCAGAGCATTCTGTGATGAGAAAAATCCCACAGCGCTGCTGCGATGCTCAAAAAGCCGTGCTTGTGACGTAACCCATCGGAGTCTTATATACGTAGGAGGCGTCTCCGAAGCCAAGTGACACTAGCTTATCGCTTTGTTCCTGCTGAGTAGCGTGCTGTGCTGAGCCTTCCAGGTTCTTGATCATGAAGATCGAAGTCAAGCAGGCACAGAACCTGTGGCACCTCAGCTCGAGATTAGTGAGGTGGCTCGCGCTTTTCATGCTGCTGGCATGTGCCTTGCTTGGCAGTGGCTGTAGTAAGAGGGTCGTAGACTTGTCCTCACGGGAGCCGAGGACCAAGCGGATCGCGGTGAGGACCTAGAGCAGGCGTCTGCAGATGTTGTGCCACGCTCGGACGCTGCTCACCTCCGCAAGCTGGAAATCCTTGGCATCACGGCAGCTCACCGTCTGCCAGACGACAGTGTGGGCCCCATCGACTCAGATTCTGATTGCAGGTCTGAGCCGTTGCCCTCAGGAAGCTTCTGGTTCCAAAAGAGCCTGACAGGTTCTGGTGTCCAGGCTATGTTGCAAGAGATGACATTGAGCAGTCCCAGTCCCGCATTGGTTCAATTGATGCGCAGCTTGATCCGCGCTTGCAGCTGCCATGTTCAAGTATCAGACGATCTTTGCGTCGCAGACGTTTTTGCGACCAGCGCTGCAATCGCTGCGCAGGCAGTGCGCATCCTTGACAAGCCAGCGGCAGAGTTGCAAAGAATCATCGAGATACATGAGTCCGATCCGGGGTTGGAAGATTGCGAGGAGGAGCACGAGGATCCCTTTGCCATCCAGATAAATTGGACCGATCATCCTTCAGACCACAGTTTTTCACACCACACAGCGACCCCTTCATTCAGCAGCCTGCCGCTTCCGTCGGCGCAGTCCTTTGAACCCTCCCTGAACTTGTGGACGTTCCAGCATGCGCTTGACCCTGTTCAGGCTCGGGCTATTGCATGCGTCGAGCATCGCGAGTCCGTGCTGCTCTGCGCGCCGACTTCTGCAGGTAAGACGGCAGTTGCAATCTATGCAGTGGCCATGGCCCTGCATCACAAGAGACGTGCCATTTACACAACGCCGATCAAGGCGCTGTCAAATCAAAAGTTTTTGGAACTGGGGAACTGTTTTGGTGCGCAGTATGTCGGGATCATGACGGGTGATGCAGTTATCGCGAGCGGTGCTCCCATCGTGGTGATGACGTTAGAAATCCTTCACAGCATGCTTTACAAGCAAGCAAGAGATCCGAATCTTCTGGATGACTTCGCTTTTGTCGTCGTTGACGAAGCCCATTTTCTGGGTCATGCGGAAAGAGGTTATGCCTGGGAAGAGGTACTTGTCCTGCTACCGCTTCATGTCAGGCTGGTGCTCTTGTCAGCGACCGTGCCAAACAGCAGGCAGATCGCCGAGTGGTGCTCGCGGATTCGAGTGGAGCCGATGCATGTTCTCACAAGCGAACAGCGTCCGGTCCCTTGTCCTGCATGTTTCTGGTTGTTGCTTTGTTTCACACGATTGCGCTTTTGTCTTGAAGCGATTCACTTAAAGACGAGCGCCTTGCCAGTTAGGTTCCACTTTCACACATCATCTTCCGATGTGGGCCGGCAGATTTCTTCGAACAGAAGCGCTCATGCTTTAACATCATGAGGCCGCCGCAGAACTTTTTCAGGCCCTGGAATGTGGAAGAGGCTGTGCGGCAGAGGGCCCTCATCCTCAAAGTACAACCTGTGTGGCGTTGCCCCTCAGGGCTCCTGTCACGCTTCATCGGACACCGTGGCCACAATCTTAAGAGCCTCACAGCCGGCTTGTCGGCATCTGTGCGAGTGCTGGATGATGGGGTAATTCAAGTCACAGCCTTCGACATCGATGTTGAGCTTGAAGCAAAGAGGAGAATTACCACCTGGCTGAAGAATAACGGCGTGCCTGAGCAACTTGCGAGGGCACCTGATTCCTCCGGCGACCCCTTGTCTCTCCAAGTTGAGGATCTGGAACGGCTGCTGTCCCTGCTGTGGTGCCGAAAGCAGCTCCCCACTATCGGGTTTTGCTTTGACAAGCGCATGTGCGAGCGAGTCGCGCTGCTTCTGGCAGGCGCCAAGCGCATGGATTTTACCCGCGGCGCTGACAAGGTCAAGATTCTGGATCGGCTACAGGGTTCTTATTCATGAGCTGAGTTTAAGGTACTATGACAAGGATATGTCGTGCTTTAGTGTCTGATATGCTTGCCTTCGTGTGTCAAATTCCATTTCAACTTCCCAAGCAAGAACTCAGGCTGCAGAGTGGCCTTGCCAGTCTGGAAGAAGCCGACAAGCAACTTGCACAAGTACGGAATTCCTGCGATTTGCTGAGCCGTGGCATCGGCGTGCATCATGGGGGCATGTCTGTGCCTCAGTTATGGCAGTCGACCAGACAGACATAACAAGCCCAGAGTTTCAAACCTCCCAACCCTGCACTCATCCCCAAATCTTGAACTCTAAAGATCAAAATCTCAACTTTTAACCTTGGACGAACTAACCCTGAAGCTATGTAAACGAACATCTCGAACAGGTATAAACCACCGTTTTCCATCCCACGCAACAGTCCTTTCTGTAACCTTGCGCTGCGCGAGCTTGGCTAGACCCCACGACTTACTTGCTGGAAATCCTAAACATTCCTGGACCCTGAACCATACACGCCCAACTCTGAACCGAAGACCCTTGCAGACTCCATCTGAACGCCAAAAGCGCAGAATGTTAAAACGACGCCGAACCCCCCCCCAAAAAAAAATCAGTCGGCCTCTACCATCCCAAGACCGGGGGGGCCCTTCCGAGGCTTCCACTCTTGAGAGAGATGGTGGAGCTGCTGTTTGCCGGTGGACTTCTTTCGGTGATTTTTGCAACTGAGACATTTGCCATGGGCTTGAATATGCCTGCAAAGTCCGTGGTTTTCACAGACGTTGTGAAATTTGATGGACGGGCACGCCGCATCCTGGACTCGGGCGAGTTTCGGCAGATGGCTGGTAGAGCTGGCCGGCGAGGGCTGGATCGAGAAGGCTACGTTTACATCATGCTGCACAGCGACAGGATCTTGCAACGTCCGGCTGCTGAGATGATAGCAAGCCTGTACACCGAGAGGCCTCCAGAAGTATTGAGTTGCTATCGACTTCGGTGGTCGTCATTGCTTCACCTGATTTCCGCCAGCCCGGCACATCTGGATGCCATGCTATCCCGAAGCCTGCAAAGGTATACTTCACCCGATGCTGCAAAGTCGCTTCAACAAGAGGTGTTTTGCATGGTGCAGGTCCTGGAGGAGCTTGCTTTTGTTGATCAGTCTTGGGCTACGTTGCCCAAAGGGATTCTGGCATGTCACCTTTTTGTGCCGGAGGACCCTCTGCTAGTAGCAAACGTCCTCATTGCCCTTCGTGGCTTTGCAGACTACTCTGCTGCACAGGCGTTTGCCGTTTGTTCGGCATTTGTGGCTGAAGGGTCTTATGGCGAGCCATCGGTGATTTCTGATTCCAAAGTCAAGATTGGTCTGGAAACTTGTCGGCAAGTGGCACAGAAGCTAGCTGCAAAGCTGCACTCTCACAACCTTCCGTGTTGTAGCAAGTGCGGCTTGCTGAAGCAGCCCGTGCCTAGTGGGCGCGGGCGCGGGTGTAGTGGTATGGACATGATAAAAGCTCGTGTGAATCCGAAGCTGTGTGAGACAGCATACCAGTGGGCACTGGGGCAGAATTTTGCAACGGCGGTGATTACCAGTGGTGTTGCACTGGGAGGCGAAGGCATTGTAACAAGAGCCCTCCGACGGCTAGACGAGCTCATGCGCGAGATCACCTTTGTGCTGCGGCACGACCTCGCGTCGCCTTGCGGCACCATCGGCTTACTTGGGGGAAGCAGAGGACCGAGTTGGTGAAGAAATCGAAGCAGAGCCACCGTGGCCGAAAGAAGCTTTGGCTCCAGGATATCGGGGGAACTTGGATCCCTTGGAGATCGGTTTCAGCCAGTCGCACTGCAAAGCTACATTCCAGAGACCTCCCGTTCTTGGGGGGCCTGAGGACATCGAGGGCTTGGCGAGGGCTCTGAGGGATGGAACCATAGATCCCATGCAAGTCAACCCGATAAGGCTTTACTGGTTCCGGCATCGCTACTACTCCTTGGACAACCGGCGACTGGCAGCTTTCAGGCTTTGGCGGCTCCTTGTCGAAGATGCAAAAGCACCCGTCGTCGTCCTTATCACCAGTCAGGCCTTGAGTGGACGATGGCTCAGCAAGTTTACCACTGGTTTTACAGGAGGCCGAAAGATTCGAATCACTCAAACGGATCTTTTCGTCGGTCTCACCCGGGAGCAGTCGACCTTCGGGTCCCATCTCTGGTCTACCGAGCTGCCGGAGAAATGGCTGGGTTTTTTCACGGAAGCTTTTGCCATGAAAGCAACCTTCAGAAACAGGAAGCTTTAGAAATTAATGTGTAGCCCTGTCGGGGTCCAGTGCCTGTGGACTGCTGAGATGCAATCAGGCACCCCGAAGTAAGCCCAGGAAAGCTGGAGCCTTGATGGAGCCCTCAAGCAAATGGTAATCGATGCCCCTGGCGCATCAAATCCCATTCTCCAAACTCAACTAGTAACTAACCCGATGCCCGAAAAATGGAACTGACTAAATCCGCAGACTCCTTTTCCAAGCTCCTAAACCCTAATTAGGCCCCAAGCCGCCTGGTTTGTCCATAGGAATCCTCAGCAGCGTGGAGGAGGAGACCAACTCGAAGCTTGGCTTCATCCTGCATGATCTTCCGGTGGCCTTGATAACAGGCATAGCGTTCTTCCTTCGAGTTCCCTCATCATGCATGACAGTATTCTGTATTCGTCATATGCATCCACTGTAATGTTTCAATTAGTGGCAGTCATCATAGTCAGAAACGTGGGTCCATCGCACCGCGAATTCTTTGTAACTCTCGGGTATCACTTAGTTTAAGGCTTCGGGCTTTAAGGCTTAGCCCTTAGGTGTAATAGCAGTACGACTTTAATCCATGCTTTGGCAGACTTTCGCCCTGGAAGCCCTTCTCGAACTAGGTACTTCGACATTGGTGCCGTGGCGCTGTCGCTGTGCTGCCGGGAACCTCAAAGCGTTGACCCGGTCGAGGTTAGTCAGGCGTGTTGGCAACAGGATTCTGACATGTCTCAACCGAGTCAATATCACAGTCACTAGCATGAATTAGGCTAAGCCGCTATGCCGTATCAGCGACGCAGAACCATACGCAGACGATGGAAAGCCTTCATCCCCAGACCAGCAAGCTGAAACCCTAACACCCGAAGCGCCCAAATCCTGTCCCCCCCAATTCCCTCTAAAGTCGCAAAAGCCCGTCTGAAATCGAACCCAGTCCCACAAGTCTATTTATAACCTCAAACGCATGGGACCCTAAACCCGACGCTGTACGCAAGGTGCGGGTGAGGCCCAGGTGTCGAGGTACCGGTCACTGGCTTCCGAGTCCCGCTTTGGTACTTTTTCATATACCCGAAACACCACCAAGGGCATTCGTAACGGGCTTCTCTTTGTCGAGGCGAAGGGATGCGAAGGGGATGCTTTTGGGTTTGGAAATCGGATGGGATGGATAGCTTGGATCGTCGCGGTTCTCCCCTTCGCCGGACAGCCTCTGCCAGCATGGCATTCCAAGGTGGCAAAGAGGCAATAAAAGATATCCACGATGCTAGAATTGAATGTATGTGGCACTTCTCCTCACTGTTCGTAACTACGTCTTCAGCATCCCTAACCCCCACAGCCTCAAGCTACACAAGCCTATCCTCCAATTTCAATCCTTGAGGTTACAAAGCCATTTGTAGGCAAACCCAATACCCCTTAATTAAGGAATATGCCTTAAATCATAACATGAAGGCCCCTATAATTTAAGGTATGTTCCTTATTCCTTAATTATTGGATTCTCTGGGTGGTCTTTGGGCCTGCAGCCCGCTTCCGAGGCGCCGCTCGAGCGGAGGGCGCTTCCGAGGGCATTGCTGGACGCTGGCGCGAGCTGAGGGTGCGGCCGGAGAGTGTTTAGTTAGTTTGTGGTTTTTAGGGCTTAGGGTTTATAGGGTTTAGGGTTTAGGGTTTGGGTTTTGAGGCCTAGGGGGTTGGGGGATCAGGGGTTAGGCTAAAGGTTTTGGCTTGGAGGGTTTTGGGTATGCGTAGAGAGATGGCTTTGGGGCCGGAGGTGTCGTGGTGGGATCACGGCTTCACGTGCATATTGCTGCGCATGCACGCATACACATTAATTCCCGCTGGACTCAGAACATCGGGATGGTTTCGGTATACGAATCATCTACAGTATCGTTTTTGGAATGGCCTGCCCTGTTTTTTGCGCAACTCGGGGCTTACGATCAGTTCTTGACCCTGTAAGCACCACAATTAGGCCATGAGCCATGTAAGCAACAAGCCCAGAGTCCCTGAACTTTCGACCCTCCCGGTGAAGAGGTGGCGAGCCATTGGCAACACCACCTTTCAAGGCCGAGTTGGGTTCCTGGGTTAGAGGTGATGCGCTCTACAACATCAGGATGCGGTTCCTTCCCACCCTAGGGTGTTATTCCTTCTGTCATGGCTACGACTGCAAAGTTTCATGTAGTTCGCATGGTTGGTACCTCGGTCTTGTCGTCGTCGAATTCAGTCTGACGCAGTTTTGATCTCTTGCTTGTTAGTACAAGCATTCTTGTCGTCGCATGTGTATAAGTCGAGTCGTACAACCGACAGACCTCGAAGCGTCGGTACTCCTCCGTGCCCTCATGACTTGACGGGCACAAGGGTGTACGCGTTTGCTGAAGCCATAACGGAATGTGCGAGACCTCCACTCTAAGCTACCTTAAGCCTGCGAGCCAAGCAATCACCAGTGATGGTGTGCATTTCCACGTATGCCAAGTCTGCCTTAGGGTTTAGGGTTCCCCGAAAGGCTTTGTGACACCACTTGGTGTTACTGGATCCGTGGGCCCGGCATGAGTTTAAATTTCGCCCCGCACATGCGCGCGCAGTGTGTGTGTGTGTACTCAGATGGTGTGCCAAGACATGTAAAACAGGTTCAACTGTTGGGTTAGTGTTATGGGTTTGAGCATAGAGCTGTTGAAGTTAAGTTTGAGTCTGCTGTTGGTCTGCATGGCCTTTGGCATGCTCTTGAGCTGCCGGAACCTTTAAGGTTTCAGGATGTTCAGGTATCGTGATGAAGGCATAGGGTTTAGGGTTGAGGGGGTTGAGAGTGCACGAGAGTGGCTGCAGTGCGCTGGACGGAAGCTCCTGCAAGCGCCAGCATTCCAGGTGAGCTCCTGCCGGTGCTCCTGGAAGAGCTGCGAGGAACTTCGTTGGTGACCCTAGTTAGTATAAATCCCTACAGCCAGACGTCTGAAACGTGCGAAGTTTTACTCGTAGCTCTACACACTGGTCATCGGAAGGGGGCGTCATGCAAGACCGACCCGGTTTAGGATCTGAGCTCATGTCTGGCAGAGCTTATGCGTTCGCTAGTGGGCAGGACTCTTGACTAGTTTGATACATGTCCCATAACTAGGCACCAAGCACTCCAGCACCCCAAAACCAGTTTTGTACAGCGAACCCCGAAACCCCGAAACGCGAAGATTCAAACCCCATGCAAGGCATACGCCCGAAGGCCCCAACTAAGCTTAGAACCGCTTCCTAACGGGAGGTATCTGCGCTTCCGTGGCTCTTCGCGGCCTTTGCGGCCCCCTTGGAGGCGCTGGTACCCGAAGGCGGACTCCTCTGGTGGAGCTGCTCCTTAAAGTACATGTTTCCTCTTGCCTGCTAGTCAGAGTCCTTAAGAGTCACTGTCCTTATAACGGGGGTCTGGTTCTGTGTCATGGTCTCTATTTGTTTTTCTGTTGTTGATGCTGTCAGGTCGGTCTCACCTTTATATGCAGTTCCTTTGCTATCTAGAGATTGTAGTAATATCTTTCTTTACATCTGGTTCACAGCAGCTTGAATCAAGGGGCTTGGGGTTAAGGAGTCAGGCTGTCGGAATTCGGATGCTTCGGCCGATGATCCAGGTTCACGACGAGACACTATAGATAGTAGGGTCTTTCTTCTGCGGAACTTTCTTGAGCTCCAAACCCCTGCAGCAATACCGGAGCCTCCGGAATTCCATGTCATTCTGCTTTAAACCTAAAGGAAAAGCAAAAATAACAAAAAACTTGAACTTGTAATCCGCTAGACTATGAAAGAAGCCAGAAATCCTCAATCCTTTTGGGCCAAAATGTGCGCAAACATCCCGTTCTCTTCGTGTACTCAGCCTGGTGAGGCCGCGCCAGGGACGCACTTCTTGTGGAGCTGCGCAAGGCATTGGAGGTGGGAAAACCCATTGGCCTATTGTAGAGGTCTGAATATAAAGTAGTGATTTTTTTCGCATGATAGTCTGATAAAGACAATAAGAACAAGTATACCCTACTATATCGCAAAACCCTATTCTCACCAAATGAGGCGCCTCCGATATGGGGTTTGGGAGAATCCCCCAAGTCCCAAAGTCCGAAACGCCAGATCCCCCTCCCCTGCTTCTGCACGTAGACTCCAGCCAATCTGCTTCCAAAAGGCTTCAGTCGGATCCCAAAGAAACCTTCAGAAAAACTGAAAGCATCCGTGCCTGGTGCTTTTGAAGTGATTTCAGGTCTTTGGTTGAAGGCAGGTTTTAAGCCTTCGCCAGCCCTGGGTCCAGAGAAGAAGTATAGAAGGTGGGCATCATGCAGCCTCTCTGTGCCAAGATCGAAGAGGCCTTCCTGGGTTTGTTGGGGTTTGGGGAGTTCGGGCACCCTTTTTTTTCGGGTTTTGGGCTGGAGCATACGCGACGAGGCTCCAAACATGCTCCGAGACCGTGTGCGCCTTGGGCTGTTTTCCCGCTACTCGCACCAGCGTGCCACTTTTCTCAGCCTCATAGAGTGAAGTCATGTCCCAAGGTTCCATATCCAGGAAGTTTGATTATTAATGGCTCGTAGTTTGATAGGCTCGACAATATGTGGCAGGATCTGCGGCTGCTGGCGCATGCGACGATGCAGGCACTGGACTCGCTCCGTTAGATGCCCGCCCTTCCCCGACTCACAGTTTCGAGATGCCCAAAGCCTTGAAGCTTATTCAAGGTTGATTTATTTTTCCTCCTCGGCCCCACGTCATTAGCTCAAACGGCCTCCCATGCAGGCCAACAAAGACGCGCTGCCGCTTGCCCCACCGGAGGAGGATTCCGGGCTGAGGGAAGCAACAACTTGCATGGTATGTTTGCACGGTAGACTTACGGTAGACTTTGCTTTTCTGCAGTACTCCAACCTGTGCTGAAGTTTCGGCGGTGGATTCGAGGCGACAGGCATGCAGGAGCGATTCCACGGTATCTCGCAACCATTCAGTGATCGCAACGACTTGCTACTGTTTGTGGTTGAGAACCTCTGCCTTGTCAGAATCACAACTCTCGAGGACACGAATTCACGGCAGGATGCGACAGGATTTCCCTTACTGTAGATGGTCTGAATAGTTACCAACATTATACCTTAGGGCTCCTTATTCAAATTATGGCATAGTGTACACCTACACACTAGTCTAGTTATTCAGGACCCTCTATCAATGAGACTCCAAGCCCTCGCAGCCACTAAGGCTGTAGCTGCGGTATCCATGAGCCGGCAATACGAATATAAAACCTCGAGACCCTGAACCCTTAACCCCTAAACCCTCATGCAGTCATCAAAAGGCCTTCAAAAAAAAATAACCCCTAAACCCTAAGTCCAAACTGTGCAGACGGAAAAAGGTGTCAAAAAAAAACCCTAGGCCCCTAAACCCCTAAACCCCTAAGCCCCTGAACCCCTAAACCCCTGAACCCCCCAAACCCGGGGGCTAAGCTGAGGGCTTGTGGGGGCTTGTCATGGGGAGGCTCTCGTGCTGCTGCGCTTGCGGCCGCTGCGGCTGACGGTCACGGACGTCGTCGACCTCAAGGATCAGGCGCTTTCGGGGGGCTTTGCGGTCGGGTCTATAATAATAATAATAAACAGTAATGATACTAGTAATGATAATAATAGTAAGAGTAGAACCGAGCGATCAAGGACATTCGGGGTTTGAGGTGTGAAGGAGTAGGGAGGGGTAGGGGGCTCAAGTGGTGGAGTTTGGAATCTAATCAGCGCCTTGGGCACGTTGTCTGCTTTCTTGGTTTCGTGAACCGCGAGCCCTGGCCGCGCATGTTAATAAGCTTGTAGGACACGTGCTCCAGGGATTCTAGGTCCTGGGCGTGGCGACTTCACCAAGATGCACAACCTTTGTGACGTTTTGTCGGGACGATGTGCTGAAAGTGGCTTAAACCACCATGCTGAGAATGTCGGGTGCATGTTAAAGTAAACTATGGCTGGAGAAAGCTGGATTTTGGCTGTCTCATTGCCCTAGCATTTGACAGGCGCCTGGAACTCGACCCGAGATTGAAAACAAACGTCATTCAGATGTCCCGTTGTGCCGCACGGACGCATGTTGCGATTTGCGCTTGCGCTGATTTGCACCTTCTTCTTCTTCTTCTTTCAGCAACATAATCAGAAAAACCGAACACCCCAAACACTACGCCACTATGCCCTAAAACGTAATCCTAAACCCCTAAAGCCTAAAAGCCTCAACCGCTTAAGCCCAAGCCCAAAAGCCTCAACCCTAACCCCCCTACTGTTTTCTGCAGATAATGCCCGAAGCCCTAGCCATGAAGAGGTCGAGCTGCGGCTGAGCCGCCACTTCTACGACCTGGCCGCACTTGCGCCTCAAGATGCCGAGGCCCGCTCGGCCTTGGGTTGGGGTATGGGTTTAGGGTTTAGGGTTTAGGGTTTAGTTGGGTTATAGGAATTCTGAGTGTTGGTGTAACGAAGAAGGGTATTGGAGTTGTGAAGTTCTTTATTTAGATACGGAGTTGCAAGATTCGTGAGGAGTTTAGAGCGGTTGTGAGCACCTGAAAGAGTTGTATCGGCTGCTTTTTCCACAGATACGCTTGGTTTTCGAAAGGGTTTTGCGGGTCCTTGCCAGAAGAACTAACTAGAAGTACCGCCCCATCGGTTGATGGTAGGAACATATGCTTCCGTTGTTACGATAACTTGAACTAAGTTCTTCAGAACGAACCCAGGTCTATGTGTGCAAAATAGGTATCGCATGCCGCTGTACACATGTAGATCATCGACAGATATAGAGACCCGAAGACATCGGGGTCGCAAGCACACCTAACTGTCCTAACTCCAATGATGCATTGGGGTTCAGGGGTTTAGGGTTCAGAATGTAGGATCTGCAGGTTTCATAGGTTCCGAAAAGTTTAACCACGAGCTGCTGCCATCCCTGGTCCTGCTTTTACAAGTCTGCATGCGCCTCCGGTCTTAAGCCAACCCCGACGCCCCAAGCCTTGAAGCCTCAAGCCTTGAACAGACCCTAGACCTTAAGCCCTGAAGCCCTAAATCCTATAAGCCTTTTACCCCCCAGCCACCAAACATCACCAAACCGTAAACTCGAAACTCAACCCTTCTTTCTCCGTCGACTTTCCGGGCATTTGTGCTTCGCAGGCCTATGCCCGGATGCGCTCTGTGGCGCTGCAGCGCACGGGCGCCCAGTGGGCTCCGGTGGTTTAGGGATTAGGGTTTGATAGGGGCTTTGGCTTTCGGGTTTAGGGTTGCTGTTTGAGGGGAATTTCGGGTTTCTTGTTCAGGTTCAGGGCTTCTAGGAACTTCTCTAGGGCTAGGGTTTCAGAGTGGTGCAGGTTCGAAATCCCGGTTGGGTCCAGGTTTCTACAATGGCCAGTTGTCATTCGTTTGTCCCAATCAATCTCCACACCCCAGAGCCTGCAAACCATGAACATCTCAAGATCGAAAGCTCCCAGCCTGGATGCTTTTGTTGATTTCAGGGTTTATCATTATTGCTATTCGGGCTACGGGCTATTCGTGTTATGTTGATATGAAGATCATGAATCACCCCGTCATGCGAACCGCCTGAAGCCCTTTTCTGCGTTGTGTCCTCATCCTTCCAGCAGGGTATGGCCTGGACCTCCTCGACGGCGGCTTACCTGCCGGCTCTCTTGCGCAGGGGTCGTCGTCCCAGATGCCGGGTTCAGAGACCAAGTGGATTAGCGCAGGGGTTGTTAGAGTCGGTTAGAGTTTCTGGGGTTTCTGGTCATGGGAGCAGGGTTTCTGTATGGGGCTGGAGTGCCGGAGGCCACCAGGCTTTCCATTTGCTTTCTCAATATGGGTAGCCTTCCAGAACAACGGTCATTGGATGGTACCAGATGTCTGAGCTGCCCCTCAGCCCTCAGCCTCTCGGCGACCTGGTCTACTGTACTGGCTTCAGGCTTAAGGTTTGAAGGGTGTCTGGCGCAGGAGCTCGAGTTGCTGTACGAGTTCGGAGCTGCTGCCACAAGCGCAGAGGGAGAAACCAAGCTCACCCAAACTGAGGCTGGATGTGATTGACGTTATGCGGAACGTTCACCTCTTGGCCACCCAGTGCCATCCAGGGAACGGGTTCTGAGGTGATTGTCATCAGCTCGTGGTTTCAGGCAACCTTGGAAGCTTGCGCACAGGTACTGCTACAGCCTTCACCAACAGTTCTTTACGCAGGCCTGGGCACTAGCATCGCTCAGGGCTGGGGTCCCTGGTTGATGCCGCCTGTTTGTCACATTCTTGCACCGTCGGGCCCTTCAGCTGAGAAGCTCTGTCTTCAAATGCTGCCTTTGTGAGGCCTCACACGCAAATCCAAACTGAGCTGGAAGGACTCCCTATAGACTCTCCAGGCCGCAAAATTCAAATGTAGGCTATAAGCCAAAGGTTCATGCTCTTGAGAGCGTCGGCTACCAAGTATTTAGGAAAGCAATCAGCAGCATAACAATGAACATTCAAGAGCATTTGTCCATGCGTGACACAGAGGCCTCCAACCAGGGCGAGGCGAAGATTCGAACGATCACGGTGGAGTCGCCCGGCTGAGTTGCTAATTGGAGATGGTTTTTGTAAGGAGGCGAAAGTTGCGATCCTTGTTGTCCATGCTTGCTGCTTTGCTTGTGTTGGCATGATGACCATGCACGAGATGATGATGTTGTTGGTCTTGTTGCTCTTGGTTATGATGATAATGATAATGACGATGACGATGACTATGGTGGTGATTACGATGATGATGATGATGGTGGTGATGATGATGATGACGATATTGATGGTGACAGAAAGGTGTTGATGCATCTGGTGATGATGGCTATGTGTGTCCATGATGACGATGCAAGAATGTCGATGGTTGAGAGGATGACGGCCAGAGGGCATCTGCCAAACAGTTTGCCGAATGGTTGAGTCCTGACTGCTTTGCTTCTGTCGAAAACACTGTTCCAGGCCCTTTCGAACATGGCTGTAATAGACCTGGTGGTGCAAGTGCCCTTTCAGCATTTTTTCTGGTCAGCAGTCCGAGCGTCTCCATGGAAGGATCTATCCAGGTGGTGCTTTGCACATGCAGGTCTAAATCCATGGTGGGGCAGCGCCCAGGAACCCTCAAAAGCCTTCAGCTAAGCTTCTTAGCATCAACCCTGAAGCCCAGACGCTAAGCCATCTTCTGTTTTGTTTGCCCTCATGCTCTGAGGCACTTGGCTGCCTCGATCCGCGTCCATGGCTACGGAGTCATCAACACCGCCCGAGCTCCCAAGCCCGGGGATGGAGCAGAGGGAAGAAGAGCTCATCACGATACTGTAGTCGTCTTTGCAGTCAGAGACCGATCTATAGATGTCCATGCATGCACACACACATGTTACGTACGTACATACATGCTTTCGTTGTTAGCTTGGTTTTGGTTTCGTGCCCAGACGCCCTTCGGCATCCCGTCTCGTCACAGCCTGCTTTGTAACGGGCATGCGACTTCAAGGATCCTAGAAACCCTATACTATAGGCTCAACCCCAAAACCCCAGGCCCTAAGCCCCAGAACCCTGAACCCTAAACCCCATAAACCCTAAAGCCCTAAAACCCTAAAACCCTAAAACCCTAAAGCCCTAAAGCCCTAAAGCCCAAACCCCCTAAAACCCCGAAAGCGCCGTCCCCCAGAAAGGCCGTGAACTACAGTGTCGGCTTCATCAGGCGGAAGCTAGAGGCCGACGATTCAAAGCCTTAGGGGTTCAGCAAGTTTGGGGGTTTCGTGGGGTTTAGGGGTTACGGTTTAAGGTTCAGGGGTTTAGGGTTCAGGGTTCAGGGTTCAGGGGTTTAGGGTTTAGGGTTTAGGGTTAGTAAGGATTTGGGATTTTAGGGCACAGGTTTGCAGCTTCTGGATTGAACTAGCAGCACCAGTTGTAGTGAGTTCGAGGAGCAGTAGTTGTCGTGGTCGTTGGAAGCAGTTGCAGTCGGGCGCGCGCTGCCGCCGTCGTCGTGGTCATTGTCGCTGTCAAGGTGGTGCTGGTAGTCGCGGTGGCCTGTAGGAGCTGTTTTGGCGACCCCCCACATGCAATGCAGGGACTTTGCTGCATCAAAGAAAGTCGAGTTGGGGATCAGAGAACCCTAAACCCTGATGGACCCCGGCTTCGCTATTGCAGCAATGCAGGATTTAAAATGTATATCAGGATGATTTGAGGTGCATCTGAGAGTCGGAGGGTGAGGAGCCCAGAAGCCGGTATCGTCGTCAGGTTAGTGGTGTACAGGAGTATTGGATTTGTTCCGATGTTTTGAACGTCCGGGCTGGGGCTAACATACGGTCTAGGGTTTCCGGCTTGTGCCTTAGTCTTCACAATCTTTCCCAACTTTGTGGTTCAAGGAAACTGTGAAGAGACGCGCAGGGATCCTGGATGGAGCGTTCGACCCTGCTCCAGTCGCTGTAACTCTTGTCGGGACAAGGCGGTACTTCGAAGCATCCATATATTGCCTTACTGTCAACATCTTCATCACTTTACTGGGACCTTAAACCGCGACTGCTATAGCTACAGACGGAGGATTCGGGGGAGAGTCGGCATGGACGCCCTTCCTGGTGTGGTGCAAGATGCGCTCTCTGGCAAGGGTGTTCTGCACCAGCGCAACTTCAACAATGCCATCAGCTGCTGTTGGGTTGGAAAGGAATCGTTTTGGAGCTTCTTTAGACAGCGATTAAGTAGATGTCTTCTGAAGGGTCAGATGTTGTGCTTGTCGTGGTCTGGCAGGCCGTCCCCGCGGCACTTATTTTGGGCATTGTTTCCGTGGAGCAAGCTCTTGCGTTCGGGTCTCGTCTCGCATGTGCGCAGTAGTTCGAATGATGCTTGTAAGATCCCCAGCTTTCTGGCACTCAGGCTGTGGGAAGGCCCGGCAGTGGCAACTTGGTCTCCACCTGCTGTCCTCCATGCCCACCGCGAAACTGTCCCCTGACGCGGTGAGCTTCAGTGCGGCCATCTCTGGCTGCGAGAAGTCAGGTGAGTGGCAGAGGGCCACATCTTTGCTGAGGCAGATGCTGGAGGTTCAGGTCTCCCCCACCGTCATCAGTTTCAATGCAGGCATCAGCGCCTGCGAGAAGGGAGGCCAGTGGGAAAGAGCCTTGCAGCTCCTCTTCGAGATGCCCTCAGCTGAGCTTCTTCCCGATGTCATCAGTTTCAGTGCAGGGATCAGTGCTTGCGAGAAGTCGGGGCACTGGCAGCAAGCCCTGCAGCTCCTATCGCAGATGGAGGCGCAGGGGGTGAGGACCGACGTAATTTGCTGTAACGCGGGCATCAGTGCTTGTGAGAAGGGTGGTCAGTGGCAGATGGCGCTCCACATCTTCTCGGAGATGCCAAAAGCCAGACTGTCCGTTGATCCAGTCAGCTACAACGCCACCATCACCGCGCTTGAGAAGAACGAGGAGTGGCAACAGGCGCTGCAACTCTTTGAGGGTATGCCAGCAGCCAGGGTTGCTCCAAGCACCGTCAGCTTCAATGCTGCCATCAGTGCCTGTGAGGTAGTTGGTCAGTGGCAAGTAGCCGTGAGCCTTCTTTCCGAGATGAAGGCCGTCAGTGTCAGATCCAGCGTGATCAGCTTCAGTGCCTGCATGAGCACCTGTGAAAAAGCTGGTCAGTGGCAAATGGCGCTACACCTCCTCTCAGAGATGCCTGCAGTCGAGCTGAGACCGAACGTTGTGAGCTTCAACGCCGCCATCAGCGCCTGCGAAAAGCGTGGGCTGTGGCAAGCGGCACTCCATCTGCTGTCTGGCTTAGCAGCCCGAAAGACTGTCATGACTGCCATCACCTTCAATGCAACCATCAGCGCTTGCGAGAAGGGAGGACTGTGGCGAGAGGCTTTGCAGCTTTTCTCGGACATGCCAGCAGCCCACGTTGTCCCAAACGTGATTAGCTATAGTGCCACCATCAGTGCATGTGAAAAAGCCGGGCAGTGGCAAATGGCTCTGCATCTCTTGTCAGACATGCCGGATGCCGGTGTCGCTGCCAATGTGGTCAGCTACAATGCCTGCATCACCGCCTGTGAGAAGGCTGACCAATGGGAGTTGGCACTGCAGCTTTTCGCACAGATGCCGCGGGCCGAGGTGACAGGCACTGTGATCAGTTTCAGTGCCGGAATCAGTGCATGTGAGAAGGGCGGCCAGTGGCAGATGGCCCTTCAACTTCTTGCAGACATGGAAGCAGCAGATGTGAGAGCCAACGTCTTCAGCTACAACGCAGGCGCCAGTGCCTGCGAGAAGGGCGGGCAGTGGCAGCTGTCTCTTCGCTTGCTCTCCGAGATGTTACAGGTAGAAGTTGCACCGGATGCTTTCACTTATAGCTACTGCGTCAGCGCCTGCGACAACAATGGCCGATGCCGCTGGGTCCTGCAGCTGCTGGCGGAGATGCCGTTGCCAGGGTTTTGCTTTTCGTGAAGGTTCAAAGCCCAAGCTCCGAAAATCCAGTCGATCCAATTCCGCTGAATTCGTGCACGGCCCTGGAGTCTCTAGTGCCATGCAGTGCAAGCTATGCTTGGACCGTCCGGTCAAGCAGCCACGAGGCTTGAATCCACTTTGCCCGGAAGCCAGTATCAGAAAAGGAGCTTCGATGTGAAGATGATAATTTCTATGCGCACTGCTCAGCAAATCGTGTGCTTTTACCACCCCCAATTCTTGCCTGGCAGGTGGTGGCCGAGTTCCTTGCCGATGAATCTGCCCCTTGGACTTCGAGCCTTAGAGCTCCGAATACATCCGAAGGCCTACGGTCACAGGACTCTGACAGACGTGCTAGCTGGTTCTAACCTTCTCAGTATGGCTGAGCAACCGAATCTAAATCCCAGCTGTAAAGTGCTTTCACTTCCATATTGCTGGGCCTCCAATATCATCAGCTGCATGTCGAGCAGGGGCCACGGACCGCAGTGACTGTTGCTGGGAGCGTGCGCAGGGCTCCTAAATAAAGAACTCTACATGTAGACCTTCGCGACCAGATCTTGGGGGGGTCCATCCCAGAGTATACTAAATAACTAGCGACCTATCTTCAGAACCGACGGGAAAAGGATCAATCTCTTTCTTGGTTCTGCCGCATCACGCCTGAAGTTGGCATGCTCTCCAAAAGCCGACTGGCCTGTTTTTTTTAGGGTTGTTGGGCTTGCAGGGCTTTTAGGCAGGGTTGACGGTTTGGGTTCCACAGCGCACCAGGCACAGTTGAAGACACTTTAAGGCCCGAGACCCGAAACCCCAAAACCCAGAGCCCCAAAGCGGCCATACTTAGACTTAGAGACTGGTCGGCCCAAACCCAAGGTCAAGTCGCGGCTCCTGGCCGACAAGCAGTGGATGCAGGGGCGGAGTTGCTACACCTGGGTCGGCGGCCTAGAGGGGTGCCTGCATTCAGATTTTGTGTTGTGTTTTGCTGTTTTCAGGGATTGTGGTTTGGGGTATCACCTTGGGGGCCTACCGAGCCCAGCTGGAGAAAAGAACGCACCTGAAACGTGAAGCCGGACGCCTCAAGAAGACCTATGCAGCCAGCAGAAGCCCGGGCGGGACGATCTTCGGGGTCCTACGTTTTGCAACCTCCCCCGGGCCAAAATCCCTTTTAATCCCCACCTCCCAAACCCCAAACACCCTGAACCCTGAAATCTTGCAGCCCTGAGGCGCGGGGTGTGGAGTCCGCAAAGGTCATCCGAAGGCCCAGGGATTTATAGGGAAACTGGGCGGAGCCTTTGGGTTTCGGAGGCTTTCAGGTCCGGTGTCGCGCTTGTGATGAGCTTTCGGGCTTGCATTTGGGGATTTTGGAGCCTTCAGGCCCAAGATTGAGGGCTTAGGATTCGGGATTGAAGCTTGCTGCGCATGGAAGGCGGAAGGTACATAGACTTTTTTGGGGTTTGAGGTCCCGGATGTACAAAATTCTTGCACTCTCATCCCGGTCCAAGCTTGCACTGTTTTTATTTTCAGTGTTTGTCTCTCTGTGTGTGTCTGTGTTTTGTATCTTTTGGTTTCGACTGGGCTCACGTCGGTTTTAAGTTGAACTTCGCAGTGTCATCCGGAGCACGCTCGTTTTTGTTCCTGACGGTCCCATCGCAAAGACCATAAAAAGGCACCGACACCCTGTGTTAGGTTCTCAGAGTTTTCGGCACAGCAGATTTTTGATGGAGCAACTTGAGGGACAGGGCTGTGTTGGGGAAACCCTAAACCCTAAACCCCTACAGCTAAACCCTAAACGAGAAGGGCTAAGGTCCCCCTGATAGGGTCGCTTTCAGAGTTTTAGAAATGGTCTGTGGGGCTTCCCTTGGATGTTCAAGGTTTCTGATGCTATTATCCCCTTACAATAACCCTGTAGATCTCTCAAAGCCCTGGAAGCCCCGAATACAGAGCTTTAGGGTGTATTGTCCTGTCATTATAAAAAAGAGCCCTAAGGGGCAGTATTCCAACTATACAGCATTCCTTATTCTAGTTGTTCCGAGATGCTCAGCTCCTTGAAGAGCTAGGCTAGGTTTTGTTGGAAGCTCAAAAGCCCGAAACACCCCAAAACACAGAAGATCATGCCAGCACCCTGAATCGCTGAGGCCGCAACCACCTTGTCCCAGAGCATCGTGCACCCAAAAGTGCCATCAACACCAAGACGAATTGGAATTACCGTGTCGTCTCTGTCTACAGATAGACTATGTGTACATATTTATTTCCAAACTCAATGTTGAATAAATATTGGCAAACTTGGACAGTTCGCCGCTGCACATTGATATGTAATTGCATTTACGCATGGCGCCTTTAAGCAAGCAAGCCTTATATGCATTAACTAGAGCATAACTACGCAGCAGCGGAATAAGAAGCAGCACTCAGATACAGATAGACGGAAAGGTAGGTTAGGTAGACAGGCTGATAGATAAATGTGTAGATGTAAGACGTGATCCTGCAGAATCGAAACAGACTCTCCGCTGCCCGAGCCACTCACAGGCTCGGTGCCGGGCGTGATGGTGCCCGGCGCCCGGAGTGCACTCCCGTCTCGTGGTCAAACTCCGGCCGCCAGATGGCGATCAACCGTTCGTGCTGTTCCCAGGACAGCTTGTACATGGCAAGCTGAATCTCTCGCTCTTCTGCTTCTCTTTGGTCAGTGCCGGTATCATGCACTGCCCCGTCTCGTGGTCATACGGCGGTGAAGAGGACACCGTATGTATCGGTGGAGCTGATATGCGGCGAGCTTGGGACGGTTGGCAAGCGGGATCCTATGCCATGACAGCCAGCCAACATGATGACAAAGGAGCAGGCAGAGAAGAAGAATGGGATCGTGAGGTGGAGGAAATGCGCCGGGAGTTTGACTCGTGGGTCTGAGCAACTTCGGGACCCTTCGGGCCAATCATTTTGAAGCGTGAAGCTGGAAAGTGCAAGAACTGGCCCGGCACGCGTTCAAGCTCCGCTCCAGAATCTAGGGTGTGCTGAAACCCGAAGCTCTGCAACGCACAACCCTTAAACCCTCAAGCCCCAAACCGTATGACCGTACACCCAAACTTACAAACTCCGACGCCCTAAACCCCAAGCCCTATGCCCCCGAACACGCGGTCCAGGAAGGGTTTTATGCAACATACTTGGGGTTCGATGATGGTATGTGACGGTAGTAAGAAGGACATCGGGTCTCGAGTTGCGGGCTGAGGCTCAGATTTTAACCTTCATGAGGGTCCAACAAGGTTGTTTTGGTGGTTCAATTCAAGAAGCACCTTGGTGAAAGGCTGCAAATCCAAACTCCAAACAACATGCTGAGACCTGAAGAGCACGCCGCTGCAGGTGTCTTTCCTGGATAAGCTCCGACAGGCTCTCATGGGGTTTCGGGTTTGGGGTTGGAGCAGGCGTGAGGCGAGGTTTGTGAATTTAGGCTTTGTTTCCACGACAAGCCATTCCGAGTTTACTCACCTCCGCACTGACAATGGGAGGTGGTGTCGCAGATCGGGAACAGCCTCGGCTATGTTCGGATGGTGAGGCGCAACTGAGGTAGATTCTGCGCAATATCAGTCGGAATGTCGCATGGAAGGTTGCTTCAGGAACTAACTTATTTTGCATGCCAGGGTCTGGCAGCACGGGTATGGCGGTAGATAAGAGAGGTTCACCCTGACAGGGGAGCGTCCCGATCCAACACGGTTTTTCGAGCTTGCAAGACATCGCGATCACGTCTTTGAATCGTCTAGCAATGGTGCAAAAACTGGGAGATGTACAGTACATGCGAAGATTGCCTCTTCGCTTGGTACAGTGGCGGACGCAAACGAAAACCCCGCCGTGACTTCGAGAACAACGGCCACCTTTGGACGTCTAGCCTTGACCGTGTAGTGGATACAGATTGTGGAGAAGTCTGATTCTGCAGACTTTCACAGCCGAGAGCTTGCCGCAGGGCTTGGAAGTTGTTGCAGTGTTCCTTCCGTCGAGGGCTGCGTAAGCCTTTAAACTTTCAAGCCTTATACCGGGCAATCTGAAAGCGCCCGAGGACGGCAGGCATGCGAAGCATGGCCGGAAGCTTGGACTTTCTCGAGGCAGGACGTCACCAATGGAGCAAGGAAGATTTCTGATGATGGCTTCTATGGCGAGGTCCATAGCGTATCTGAGGGTGGTGATCAGGTTCCGATGGGCAATAGTCCTCGACTTCTTTTTTGAGGCTCGAGTCTGGTCTAGTCTACCTCACGTTCCTTTGCTGCCGCACATTGCATTGCGTTCGTTGCCATTGTCGTTGTTCCGGCAGAGTAAAGCGAGGGGCTTGACTTCGGAGGGCATTGCCCACACGCCTGCGTGGGTTGACTCCTGACTGGCCACTCTGAGGTGGTCTCGGGGTGATTTTTCATCAGCCGTTGCATCGGGCCGTGCCGTATCGGACCGTGGTCTCCGGGCTTAGGCGAGACAGTGACGTTATGGCATGGCTGTACATGGGACAGTCTCAGGGGCAAGGCAGTTCCACCATCACTAACCTGTACGTGGCCGTAGCGGTGGCAGCTCACATGTCATGACAGCACTGTCAATTGCCAGCATCCCCGCAGTAATCATCACCATGCCATTCCCATGAGTGTATTATCGTCCACTACCGACTGCCAATGTTCGAATGCTTGCATGGGATGAATATTGTTCGGAGAGAATGTTAGAGATGCCTAAAATATGTCGTTCGTTTTGTTGTCGCTTTGAATAATGCTCCCATCGCTATCGCACCATTATCATGCCGGAAGCAACTTTGACGTCGCTCCTCCAGGCGGCTCCTTGGTTAGGTCGACGGGAGCCAGGCAGGGAGATTTCTTCAAAGCCTTCAAGAGGTTTGCTGAGGTTTTGGGCCCTGGGACTGTTTAGGCATTTTCCGGCTTCAAGCTTTCTGGTGTCCTGGTGATGATCTCATCGGTAGTTCGTGCCTGCTGCCCGAGCCACCATTAAAGCAATCATCGTCCCAAGCACCATGCGATCAGGCGGTGGAGATAGCCTCGGCAATGATTTCTTGGAGGTCGGCTTGGGCTTGCGATGCTGGTAATGTTGCTACCAACCGGAATGATTGTTACTACCATCTACTAGCGTTAGTTGAATTCGGTTCTTACAGTGGGGGCCCTGCCCGCAAGTTTTTGTCCAGCTCCACCGCACCTCGTGAGGCTGCAGAGACCGCGTGTGGAGATGCTGCAGTGAAGGAGGTGAGAAAGGGATGTTCAGCTTTGCACTGAACGCCTGGATCTCGGGTTTTGGTTGGCCAACGTACCCAGGAACTCGGGCCAGACCGAGTCATTGACGAAGAGGGAGCTACAGCTGGATGCTGGCTTTATGCTCCTGCATACGCCATTTGTCAATGAAGGTGCTAGTTGTGAGGGAGCCCCTGGATGGGTCCTTTGTCTGTCGTGAAGGCCGCGCACCTGGCAGACACCGCAGCGCGCAGTGTCCGGCGGTGCTTCGAGGAGTGGCCGAGAGGGGGGAAGTGAACAGCGGCGTCACATGTAAAGGCCAAGCAGAGCAGCGTGCATGTGCATGATCACCAGCTTGACTGAGCTAGACTTGATCCTCATCACCACGTTCATTGCAACTTCCACACTAACATCATCGGCATCATCATCAAGATCATCATCATCCTCCTCCTCCTCATCCTCATCCTCGTCATCATCAACATCAGCATCATCATCATCATCATCACCATCGTCAGCATCATCATCGTCATACGCAGACACAAACGTATCCTCAGCGTCACCATACTGTTCTCATGACAGCTATCAGTTTATGAAAAGGAACAGGCAGTGGCACGAAATGTCACCAAGCTAGGCAGGTACTTGTCTCAGTTTGCAGCAGCTAGCATGAGGAAGATTCAGGAAGCGCAGAGCGCTTTCTCTGGGCCCCAGTCTGCCCTTGGTTTCAAGCCTGAGGCTTTGCCCATGAGCTTCACTGCTGTACATCCCGAAGTCCTCAAGATAAGTCAGAAGCTGCGCAGGCGAGCACAGACCATCTGAACTTGCTCGCAGAAGTTTTCGCGAAAGTGCTCGCAAGGCGCGGGGGTAGGGGAGGGCGTTCTTTGGTCCGATTAGAACTCGTCTCAGTTTAGCACGGTGCGATCTTGGCACGTCGGGGGTCTTAGGTGTTCCCAGTTAGGGTTTGGGGTGGATCAAACATGCCTAAAAGGCGGAAGTTATTTTGCACAATATTAAATATGTTGAGCATTGGTTTCGGGAATAGCACCCCGCAGTTAGCATTGGTCACTGAAGTTTCAACTTATTTGTAGAGGTGCTTGTTGCTCAAAGGCATGCCGGTTAGTGGTTGCTAGGTCTGGACGGGTGCTCACAAGTAAGTGCAATGTGTCACATTTACATCATGCTAAGCATTGTCCATTAGAGACATTGACATGTCGTGCAGGAGTACTAATCCTCCTACAGACGACGTCGGTCATTTTGTGAGTGCAAACGCTTACGTTCCAGTCCATAAAGAACCCCACACGACAGCCTACCCTTTACCTGTGTGTAGCCCTGTCCTAGAACCTGTCCGCCCCTGTTACAGGCCCTGTCACAGGCCCTGTCTACCCCTATCATAGGCCCTGTCTGTAGGCCCTGTCCCACCCCCTTCACAGGCCCTGTCCGTAGGCCCTGTCCATCCCTGTCACAGCCCTGTCGTGGGCCCTGTCACAGGCCCTGGCGACCCCTGTCATGGGCCCTGTCCATAGGCCCTGTCAACCCCTGTCATAGGCCCTGTCCATAGGCCCTGTCCCCCCTGTCGTAGGCCCTGTCGTAGGCCCTTCCCACGCCGCCTCCCTCCCCTTTCTCCCTCTCTTCCTACTACCTACTACTTGTCTGTCATTCAATGTGATTTCCCAAATGCTTTACAATGCTTCGAATCTATCTTCCAAACAACTCGCATGAATCTTTCCAATCTGATGATGTTGATCCGATTCAGTTGTGCGTGATAGGCAAATCTGACGAAGTTGATCCGATGCCGATTTCATAATATTATTCACAGATGTTTGTCATTCAATGTGAGTTCCCAATTTTTCGCAAGGCTTCGAATCTATCTTCCAAACAACTCGCATGAATCTTTCCAATCTGACGATGTTGATCCGATACAGTTTTGGAAAAGTGCTTCACTGGAAACAGCAGCAGTGTGCAATCGCCCCAAAAGACTGTGAGCATCGGCATGCGCTTCTAGCATCATCAACCTTGTTCCTAAACCTGATTCCTATTGTAGCGAAACTACTTAAGACGACCATTTCCATTTTTAGGGTTAGGGATTTCGGGTTGGGTATTATGGGTTTTCTATGGGGGTATTGGTGTATGAAGTTGGGTTTGCTATGTTTCTATGGGGTTGGGCACGGTTCCATAGTATGGTTTTCATCATGTGGGTCTTACTATGGGTATTTGGGTGAGTTGGGGGTTGTGGTACAGTATAGGTTGTCATGGCTTGGGTGCTAGGGGCTGGTGCATGACCAGAAAATGGAAATGGTTAAACATGATGCCTATTACAATGAAATAGATAAAATACTTAAGAATACCATTTCCAATTCGGAAAGCTAGGGGTTTTAGGGTTGCTACTGTGGGTTTTCAATCGGGTGGGGCATGTTATGGGGCTCGGTTGAACGTGTTGTTTTCTATGGGGTTGCCTTTGGTTCCGTCTCATGGGCTTCATCCTAGGGGGTTTCCTATGGGTCTTTTGGTGAGTTGGGGTTGAGGCATATGTTGTTGTGATTTGGGTGCTGGGGGGTGGTGTATGATTAGAAAATGGAAATGGTATCTGCTAACTAATTAAGCATATGCTCTACATAAATGTTTGGATCCGGCTCAGTCTTTCGGGCTCTCTTGCGGGCAGGATACCCCAAACTCCGACAACAAAGTGGGCTCTCAACGCTGATGCCTCCCCGGATCTACCAGCGTACAGTGCATGCATGTTCGGTCTGTGCAGAAGCAGTGTTGGTAGCTCCGGGCGATCGCGCAAACTTTGCCCAAGAACTGTGCCTTTCCGCCAAGGCAGGTCTCCAAGCGATTGTAAAGGGATCATTTTCCATCTGACGGTGTCTTGGGGCCTGGATGTTCTTTGTCATTGAATGTATTGGTGCTCAGCATCTTCATGAACCAGTTTTTTTTTTAACCAGAAACGGCCAATTTTTATAATGAAGATTAGTATTCCGATGCAATCCCATTCAACATTATGCAGTCAGAATATACCAAACCCCCAAACCCCATTCAGGCAAGGCAGCGTAGCACCACGCCTTTTCCATCTACTGGTGTCAGTGCCTCAGCCATAGACTACATAATATATGTGGCATGATGTCATATATATATATATCGCATATCTAGTGCATATACTATTATATCTTTAATTTACAAACAAATACAGAAATACATCTAGATATACAGAATAATAAACTAATGTATCGACCGGTTGGATGTAAACAGCATTTTTCATAGGCTACGCCGAGGGCTTTTTAACGGTTTAAAGCTTAGGGTTTACTTTTCAAAATAGCGGGCGCTTGGCCTTCGGGTGTGGCTGTTCGGATGATATGCCCGGGTTGTTTTGGAAGTGCTTTGGCCTAAAAGACTTCGGGCTCGTTGCAAGTTTTTGGAGCTTATTCTTGACAGGAGCAATGGGTCGTCGAAGGTAGATGTTCACCAGCGCCGAATATGCTTCAGGTCATGCGCCCCAGTAAATTACAATTCTGCAACCAGGAAATGTCCTCTGGTTTGGCCTGGCGGGCTTGGGCGCTTTTTGAAGAGCTGCTGGGTTTCATGGTGTTGCGCAATCAGGTCTAAGTGCAGGGGCATTTGGGTTTTTGACCCGCAGCAAAAGCGAAACACGACTGAGAGATTCATTAGCTTCTGGGACTCTTTTCGGAAAGGGAGGGGAGGGGAGGAGTGGAGGGGAGGGGAGGGGAGGGGAGGGGGAGGGATGCCAGCGCGACGGCAATCGCTTCGGCGGTATGGAGGGTTTTCCATCATCCTGACATCAGGCAATATCCCTATTGCCACGCCATGCATGACAGCAACGGTCCTGTTAGGGAAATGACACATCTTTCCGATGCGAGTTCTTTTCTTCTCTCCGAGCCTGTCGTTTCGGTTCTGAGGCCAATCTTGGGCTGCTGCTTCCTGGACTCGCTTCTCTTCGGGTCCTCGGGGAGGGTGGGAAGCATTGTTGGCTTGAAGTTCCCGCAGATAGCCGAATCCAAGACGGCAAACTTGAACTTTGTTGGGGTAGTCTGCGCCACCTCTCCAGACACTCGGAAGTTTGTAATTACAGCATATCCGGCATACCCCTCAACTGCCCTTCGTCCCCGAATCCCTGGCTTTCCGCGTCCAGGCCTTCTGGACAAAGATCAGTTTTGAAAGGATAATATAATATACTCCAGACTGTAGTTAATTGAATGAAATACGAGAACATCGTAGAATGCAGATCAACTTGCAAGGGATTGTGTTCAGCCATGCTTGAAGTTTCTTGCACGGCAGGGTTTCCCGTGGAAAGTAAGCAGATGGGCATATTCATACTCCGCTCGCTCTGTCTGTCTGTCTCTCTGTCTGTCTTTTTTTTTTTTCTCTCTCTCTCTCTCTTTCTCTTTCTCCATAGTGCAAAGTATATCAAAGTGAGGCACGGTCTTGCAACTCTTTGTGTGGACCATGCATTGCCAATGCACTCCAATCGTTTATGGCGGTCATTCCAGACGTGTTCACAGAATGAAAGCGAAAGCCGCTCCCTAAGTTTTCAACAATCCGATCTGCTTCCCATTCGTTGTTAATTATGCAGTGGCTGTTGATGCCGGAAGCTCTGCTGTCAAGCCACCGCCAGAAACCAAAACAACCAACCCGACATGACAACTCCGTACACCGCCCACCTCTGAGCTGTGAAACTGTAAACTTGGTGCTGAACCCGGCAAGCTTAAGCTGTTGAGCCTTACTTTAGCACAGGCGCGAGCTACTGGCAAAGCGTGCAGTTACGCCTTCATCCCAGCACATGTGGGATGAGCGACCAGAGGTGTTGGGTGCATTGGTTCAAGATTGTTGGCATCATGAGTCCTTGATACCACCACCGGCAGGTTGAGGCAGGTCTTTTGACAGGCGTCGCGGGTCTTGTTGTCTTTGTTGTCATTATGTTGACTGTTTTTGTGGCTGATGCTGCTACAGCCTATTTCTTTGAGTTTCTTTCTACATAAATGTTCGTCCGCCAGGGACTCAAACTTAAGCCCCTTTCATGTACCCCCACACCCACGCGCCAAGCCTAATCCCAACTAGATTCCAACATGTCTGCACCCCATCCCTTAAACTCTTAAATGCTGCAAGCTGAATAAGCCCTCCGCCCTGAATTCGCTGAGGCCTACCGGGGCCAAAGGGGATGCCGTGCTCTTTGACGACGGCTTTGCCGTGGGGGTGGCGTTTGTGCAGCTTGGCAACATCGGTTTTCTTCCGCAGCCTCTACCCGACACCACAGGGAGCTCAACCTTAAAACCCTAAATCCCCAACCCTACGGGCTACAGCTTAGCTCTTTAGGACCTGTCTCCTCCCAGGCTGCGCGTCTTTGGCCTCGACCGGGACTTCCAGTCCCTTCATTGGTTTCAGACTGAGGCCTTCGCACAAAGAACACCCGAATGTTATGAGCATCACCATTTATGGGCCATCTTACTGTCACTGAATGTCGTTTATTCTTTCTAGTATCTTTCTAGTATTGTCCATGTGAGTGTTGCAAAGTTGAGCAGTATCAGTGGAGGGCTTACGGTTTGGGATCTCCAAAACACGAAAGGCAGAAGCCCTCAGCATTGGACGGCCTTGAGATCACCCAAAAAGAATATGAACATGTAATGCAATGAGAGTTACTCTATGGTACCACGAATAGACATAGAATTGTTTTTGTGGGGCAGCAAGAGAAGGTTGTAATTAGCTAACAATCCTCCATACACTGGCGAATGGTTGACTATTATGTGATTCGTAGATCTGCTCGAGTTGATTCGTTAACCCTAAGCCCTAAACCCCTAAACCCCTAAACTCTAAACCCTAAAGCCCAATCGCACGCTGCATCCAGAT